CAAGTATAGCAGGGATTGTTGGGCTGGCGTGGGATCAGGCAGTGTTTCATTCTGCTGTGCATGGGGTCGCTATGAGTTGGAAATGACTCAATGGCACATAACAACAACAACAAGATCTATGAAATGAATATGCTGAATATCACGTCACAATCTGTCTATGAAAACATGATCTGTTTGCAGTATTTGAAGTTTCTTAAACTGATACAGTTTCCAACGCAGCAAATTTCCTGGGTCTCTTGTTGGAACAGTTGTCCTAGACTCAAATGCATAAAAATTCAGAGCACTTGGCCCTAGCTTGGATCACAGAATAAATGAATGGAAGTGTTTTTCATGTAGCCATATTTGGCTCCTTGTGATCAGCATGGAGAACAGGCAGAAGAGTAAGGTTATTGGAGAGCTGGGCCCTAGCTTAGGTGAAGAGATGGCGAAGGTCCATTACCTTCCTCATAAATCCCACCAAAGAACCCAGGAGTGAGGGGGCTGCTATCATGTAGGGCACTTGATGGGGGTGAGCTACAGAGGGATCTCAGTTGTTCACTCACAGCCCAGGCTGTAAGGAGCCCTCAAGGACAAGGGAGACATGGACCTTGCTTACTGTAGCTATCAAACAAGTAATAAGTAAGCACAGGACTCTGAAAAACTAGGCTAAGTCTGGATCCAAGATCTCTGTGGGGGCTGACAGAGACCAGGGAAAGGGTGGCCACCCTCCATTTGAATCTCTTCATGTCCTCTACTCCACCACTGCCCATGGAGTGTTATGAGGGCAGTGAAGATGGCACAGACAGCAGCAAAGCTGTGATTCTAGTGACTGATGGCTGTGTTCAGTTAATGCTAGGAAAGAGCAATTAAAGTAAACTTTGTTATAGGACATCAGGGTGTACGGGAGTACAGCTAGATAAAATGAAGTTCAACTAATTAAGACTTAATTAATTACTTACTACTGTCCTAGAAAGCTTCCCATTTTATATTCCCTTAGCTATACTTCATCAAAAACTTATGTGAGCTTCCAAGCTCAGTACCAAGCCCAAAATTTTGAGGGAGGGAAAAATTAAAACTGGCTTTCAGCATCATGAATTAGGATAAAGAAAGGGAGGCCAGGATGCATATTGGAGTCTCTTCTTAACCCAACACAAATGTCCAAGTCCAAGTTTACATTTACACCAAGGATTAAAAGACTGTGGAAGATGAAGATCCTTGCTATGAATTATCTCTGAGTCTAATCCTCATGAGAGAGCTCTGGTGGTGTAGTGCCTAAGGCTTTTGACTGCTAACCAGAAGGCTAGCGGTTCAAACCCACCAACCACTCCTTGGAAGGAAGATGGGAGATCTACTTCTGTAGTGTTACTGCCTCAGAAACCCAAGGAGGGGTCTCTATGAGTCGGATCTGCCTCGATGCCAGTGAGTTTGGTTTTTTGGAATCCTTATGATGCATTGCAGAGGTGTTGGTGTTTTTTAATTTGAGTAAAGAACATGCAGATTTCCACACCTGCCTGTAAAATGTACAAATCCTTACACAGGAAATCAGCACAGAGAAGTGATGATTTTCTGGAAATGGGCCACAATAGTTAACCAGCACATACCTGCAGTAAAATGGGATGTTTCTTGGTCAGAAGGTCCTCCACTGGCTTGGGGTTTGACCTCTTTAGCACCATGAAGTTCTCAGGATGTTCCTGCCATTATGGGACCCCACCTCTATTTGCTAAATGAGCCTTCTACCCAAGTGCCCATTACATTATGATTATAGCTGAATCATGTCATTTTCCCCACACATCCTGTGGTGTGTGTGTGTGTGGGGGGGGGTGACAGCAAGGAGTGATCCACCAAACCAGCCAAAAATATAAGCAATAAATACTTGTTTCCCTCACACAACACTTTGGGGCAGGATGTTTCTAGCATTCATTCCAGGGTTCCACAGTATCAGCTCCAGCTTCCATGCAATTCTCACAGCTTCTGTTGGCCCCAGCATATTTACTGCAGCTCCAGGCATCATATCTACATTCTAAAACAAGAAGGAGGAATGGCTGTGCTATCAAGTCCCATTTCTTATCAGGAACACAACCAGCTTCCCAAAATCTCCCTCCAGAAACTCCTAACTCATTGAACCATGTGGTCACACCATACTGCAAGTAAGGTGAGGAAGTGTGCAATGTTTCTTATCTATTTTGTGGCTTTGGGCCTTGAACAAAGGGTCTGTGAGTGTATTTGTGGGGTCAGACACAAAATTTCAAATCCAATAAAACATCCCAAGTCCCTAATTCCTGTCTAGCTCATGACCCCAAGAAGTTTGGATCTTAAAAATCTAATCAATCCTCTGTTATGTAATTGAATACCTACAAATACAGATTTTGGTGTTACATCTCATATTTTATTTATGGATGAATTTTACCAACTACAGCTATGTCCGATGTGGGGATGGTCAGGACATTGTTAACCTGTGGCTACATGGTCACTGATCAAAGGAAAAGTAGTCTCAAGTAACTTGTAATTGATTTAATGATTTGATGTCATAGTTTCTGGGAAATGAGACTTATGATTTCCTTCTCCACAGCCCTACTGGTTGTAGAGATAAAATGAGGAATGTGTGAACATTCTTTGAAAATTGTTATTCAAATTAGAAAATTCTATTCAAGGTGAAAAAAACATAGGAGTGAGATCTGTCCACCTCTCACCTACTGTATCTCAAGGCCCCCACATTGGTGGCACTCATTGGACCATGCCTGGTCATGGGTGTCCCTTCGAGGCTAAGTATAATTGACTGCCTAAGTGGTATAGGGAACAGTGGTAAACAACAGCTCCAAGTCTACTTCTCACTATGCAGAATGTAGCCACTTCCATGGCTGTGAACCCACACAGTCCCCTGGCCTTCTCTACCTTGTGAACCTTTGCTTTATGGGATCTGTTTAAGTTTCAGTTGCAAGGGCATCATAGACAAATCCTTCACTCTCAGTGTTTGTTCATTTAGTCATGCTCATCTTGATTCCTTTTTCTTTTCCCTCCTTCCTCTCTAACTCTGCAGACCAACAAAGCTGTGGCCAAGGGAGATTTCCACCAAGCCAGCACTAGCTCCCGACGGGCTCTCTTCCTGGCTGTGCTCTCCATCACACTGGGAACTGGCATCTACGTGGGCGTGGCTGTGGCCCTCATAGCCTACCTCTCCAAGAACAACCATTTATGAGTCTCCTCAAAGTGAAAGGGGAGGGCCTGAGCCATTCTGGTGGGTGAGGACAAGGCAGAGCTGATATGGCCCAAGTGCATGGGAATACACACTGTGCGATGCTGTACAGAAAATCATGGCAGAATGACTCCAGGAAGCCCTGGAATTTCTACTCATGGATTTTCCTTTGTTTTTATCCTTCAATTTTGTCTTCTCAGCACTGTGTAGAGCAAGAGACGAACACATCAGACCCTTCCCCATGGAAGTTCCAAAGAACATGCTGACCTGGAAGGTGGTCTCTGGATGGTTCTGAGTGAGTAGGCGGCAGTGAAGTGCTCTCTGCAGCCCACCAGTGCCTGCAAGGCCACAACATTAGCAATATACAACAGTTAAAAAAATGTTTATTTTTGTGGACCATGGTGCAATAGGCAGAGGCAGGGGACAGCCCTGCTTGACCTTTCTGGCATTCCCCCAGCCCACAGGCCTTCCCTGGAAAAAGAAGCTGGAGGCTGAGGAGGAAGAGCCAATTTTTCAAACCATCCCACATGGACAAAGCAAAGAGACAAAGCAGCACTTGGTAGAACCCCCAGGGTCACTGGTCTGCAAGTCAGCCCAGCCCTTCAAAAGCAAAGGCAGTATAGCCTGGGATCTGCCCATGCTAGTGTTCCTTTCAAGCACCATTGCCTCCAGCACAGAGAATGCTATGTCGTCCTTCTGAACCTGTCAAACCCAGCAGCGATAAAGCAGCAATACAATGGTCTTGGGACCTAGTTTGATCTAGGACAAGGGAGGCTGACCACAGCTCTCCTCCTAAGATCCCAACAGAACAGTCAACATGTGTTCCCAGAATTCAAGGCAAAGCATCTGTGGACTCCTCCTTAGCATAAAGACAAGGGGTGCCTGTAATTCCCTGGGTGATGCTCACCTCAGTGGTAAGAATGGCACTAGTGAGCATATAAAGGAGAGGAACCTTTGCTGTGTTGACTGAATTAATAGCTTATTTTCTTGTCATTTTTTAAGTCGCAACTACTGCTTCATATTGCATAATTTATGAGATGAATGCTAAGAAATAAGTAAATCACATTTTAATACCATCTCATTGCTCTTTTACCAGTGTTCATTATTTAACAAAAATTATCTTTTTTTTGCTTATGAATTTTCTTTCTGATTGGTATCAATGGGTGGGTTTTATTTATACTTCATACTTGTTGTTTAGGAACTCTGGTAACGTAGTGCCTAAGGCACTTGACTGCTAACCAAAGGCTGGTGGTTCAAACCCACCAGCCACTCCTCGGAAGGAATGTTGGGCTATCTACTTCCATAGTGATACTGCCTCGGAAACCCAAGGAGGGGTCACTGTGAGTCAGGTCCTGACTCGAAGGCACATAACAATAGCAACAACGCTTGTTGTTTAAACCACAGCAGAGCCACCTTGGACTCTGATGCTGAAACAGCAGCAGGATTTCTAGCAGTCCTAGAACACTATTAACACTCCCTTACATGCTCCGTGGACACAGATGTTATCTCTCCATGGTAGTGGTTCCACCCAGGGCACTGTAGACATCTCTGATGCCTTAGTCTCAGCCACAAAAATGCTGATGTGATTGATAAGTGATACAGCCTGGTGACTCCAGAGTTGAGAATCCTTACTCTGGAATAAGAATTCCTTTCACTTGCAATTTTCCACCTTCACTTTGAATATTTAAAATTATGAAAATTATTAGCACATCATTTCTGGATCCAATCCAATACCCCTCCAGCATTTTTCTCTAATGGATACTCCAAAACATATTCTAAGAACCTAACTCTAAGCAATACATGGAAGAAGCCCAAACATTCCTGTAAGAATCAGAGTGACCTGGTGGTAAAGAGCATGGGCTTGGATTGAAACCGATCTGGGTTTGAACCCAATTGTCCTACCTCCTAGCTGTGTTATCTTGAACAAATGTCTATACTTTTTTGAACCTTATCTCTTTAAGAGGTTAATAAATGAGGCCTACTTACTAGGATTGCTGAGTTACTGTGTGAATCACAGAGCTCATTGCCTTGCTCTGTGGTCAGAGATTTCTGTTTGCCATTATCTCATTTAATTCTTAAATTCTTTATTGAAAACTTAGTAATTTCTCCAAACATGTGTAGGAAAGGGAAAAATCGGGACATAGGGCATAACACTGGATCCTGACTCCCAAGGACTTCCATGTTGCCTTGTTGTTGTTAAGTGCCGTCGAGTCGTTTCTGACTCATACCAACCCCATGCACAGCAGAACGAAACACTGCCTGATCCCACGCCAGCCCAACAATCCCTGCTATACTTGAGCCCATCATCGCAGCCACCATATCAATCCATCTCGGTGAAGGCCTCCCCCCCTTTCGCCGACCCTCCACCCTACCAAGCATG